TGTGGTTACAGCCTAATAATCAGTGAACACTTTCAGCTGATCAAAACCAACAGCAATAGAAAACACCAGGTACATGAATTTACTGTAATTATGGATATCGCCCCATAGAATATCCTCTGAAATAGTGGGCTGCTATTCGTGGGATTCGTATAATAAATTTTTGTTTCTAAATACACAGCGTTCAGTAAGTTGGTCACATAGACTCTGGTTTTCCGTACACAAAAGTGTTGCGTTGTGACCACACACGTAACGGCTGCGAACGGGCATGCTGATTGGAAGCATCGAAATAGTTGTGGCTAATGTGCCGTGGCGGATACACGCATAAACTCAGTCTAGATAATGTGTCAAGTCTGAATTTCACGGTCAGCGACAGGGGTCAGTCCACATACGGAAGCTGATGCTGTCAGATTCAATCGGGACCAGCGCAAACAGTTCACTAAGGAGAGGAGCACTTTGGTGCACTCTGAAAAGATGTGGAATTCTGCGTTGAACAATCTGTACCAATCGTCATTTAGGAGGTTATGTCATTCTTTTACTGCTAAAGTGACTACTGATTACATTTACCTAATCTTATTAGGATGTTAAATTTCACCCTTGTTCCAGATGAGAACAAGTGAAACAACCGCGTAATTCGACTGTGCACACAACGGGTTATAGGAGGTAACGTCGAATCCACGGGCCAAAGGCTCAGTAGCTGTTGTGGCGTTGGCCTACACGTCTGGTTCGTCCACAGGTCCGGCTATTGCACAGCGAGAATCATGGACAGGATTGTACATTTTGTAAGCCGAGAGGAGGGATGACAGAAACTGAGATCCTTTTTATCCTTTTTATTCTCAACCCTTCATCCAAACAAAAAAACGAAATCCAGGGATTCACCATGGTTGCGTCATTCTCCTGAGGCAGATACTCTCTACCGACTCACAGCACACGGAATTGTAAATCACCAGTTAACAGTTTGATCATTATTCTAACAGTTTACTGTGAATCCGTTGTCATTACTGCATTTTAACGGGGAATAACCCTTACTCAGCTCACTACTGACTTCCCTTATTATTCGAAGAATCACCTTTCAAAAGTGCGCATCTATTTAATGAAACACGGCATTCTGGACTTTACATTATGACTTGTAAAATCCGAAGGTTTATCGAGACAGTTTTTCGGGGCCCTATTGGCCTGAAATACCTGTGGTCTAAGTTCCCACGGGCAGAAGATTTCCTTGCTTGGAATGGACGAATGCCCTGTATGACTGACTACTGTGATGCGGACTTACTGTGCAGACTAATCAAAAGCCCATGCCTTCATGAAACACTGACATGACTGCATACTGGAGGGTCGAGACATCAAGACGAAACCTTCTCGGGTTGTGGACCGAAATGTGTTACGCTATGGTCGTACTAAAGGTGTGTGATTCACAACATTTGCCACACGGCAATGTGCGAGTATAGTCAATCTTGGATGGGTGTCGGAAAGCTGAGAAGATTGAATTTGAAGTAGTATAGGTGAACTTGAAAAACTTTAAAAAAAAACCGAACTGTCGATACCATAAGGACGCGCTGACCCTCTAAGGAAGACTACTGACAAAACTGTGAAAACCAGTTAGTGTCTCAGGCCCCTGCTACATATAGAATCTGTCACAAATCAATCTATTCAGCCGGACTTAAGTGCCTGAAAACCAGTAGTGTGTCTCAGGCCCCTGCTACATATAGAATCTGTCACAAATCAATCTATTCAGCCGGACTTAAGTGCCACATTCCGCAGAAACTTGCCACATTTTTGAAAACTCAAAAATGTATAAAGTCATGTTACCCACCCAATTCATGTCTTCTTGGATGTATATAGTTTTGGTAACCAGGATGGACGTAATCGGTGCTTCGTCCTGTGAATAGCCCTGTAAACAGTTGGTGATGGAAACCCTTACCATACATTTGCACAGGTAAGTTGCTACTCCGTCAGCACACCAGAATGGTTGCTTGCAGTGAGATAGGAAGAGACCGCTAAATGAGCGACTGAGGTAAAATTCATTTGAGAAACGTGAGAAAGCTGTAGTTCAAGAATGTGAACACCAGACAACTCCGTTTTCATCCAGATTTAGATACCTTTAGACAAACGGCTTAGAACCAACTAGACGTAAGATATGAGGTCAGCCTGCCTACTGTCAAAGACTAGATGAATGGATGATTCGAACTGACCAGTAGCCCCGCGGTAAAAATTCTTTGAGCCGCTTCGCCTCGAATCCAGATCCATTTTTGGCACAGATTCGTTTTGACCGATCAACGCTACACGGTGGCTTTTGTGGTTCAACAACTACACATGGAATCGAGCTAGCTAGCCNAGCCATTGTCTTCCCGATGGCTGATGCGTAGGTCAGTTCCTGCTGACTTGAGGTTAATTCTCAATGACAATAGCACTTATCGGTCACATAAAACAGCTCAATTCTAGGCAGTCTATTGGTGAAGTGGCATTTTCAAGAGGTCAAATTTGAGTAGTGCATAAATATCTCGAAATCGAAGTTGTCCGATACCCAAATTCAGATTGACACTCGGAAATAGCGGCCAGGTTTGTGAAACGCAATGCGGTGAAAGCGTACAGATTAAACACTGGTAAGCCAACCAGGTTGACAATGTCCAAGTCTGCCAGAACATCACCGGTTTGCTCCGAATGCGCGTGCTTCAGTTCTGTAAATTGACTTCCACAACACAGCCAGTGTTAGCGCAAGCGATGGATTCGCCCAACGCGTTCAAGGTTGTGCAGACTTAAGAGAGGTTTCTTTTTAGCAAATATACACTAATTTGCAAACTAATTTGGTTCTTTCGAGAGACTCGCCTGGAACCCAGCTGAATCTCTCGTTTATGATGTTCTCAGGCAACTGAATGTGCTGCACAGGCCGCCTCATGTTCCAGTCGCTACGATATTTGAAATATCGCGATACATGTATATCTTTGTAATGTACTATTCATAAGGTTTCTTTTTGTCTTGTCGGTTGTTGCCTATTTTCAACCTGAGACACCCTGTTTGATTAGGTCAGCCATTAATCTAGAAAGCTGTTGCAAGTCCGTTAGCATACGTACGTCCTTTCTTCACTCAGGCTTCATTTGACCATGACAACGACAGAGAATGAACTGGTGTCATGTGCCTTGTCTCATTGTGTACGTGACTAGTTCACGTGCCTGAGTAGTCTAGGACGAAAGAATGAGATGGAGTCCAAGGATCTACTCCTTCTCCGCTGAGGTTTACCTGTCTGAACAGGATAGCCGCGACAGTAACTAGGGCGTTAAACCTCCTTCCACGTATCACGTGTCGCTGACGAAGTTGAATCTGAATGTATGGTTTAGTAGTAACCAAAATTGGCAAAGAAACACGAGGTGAGCTAGGTTTGTAGGAACGAACAATCTCGTACACACGGTTGAGTGGGCTAGACTACATTCGCTCATTACAAGTGCTGCAACTCAAGAGGCGAGGAGTAGCATGTACAAATGAGAAATTTCAACCTGATTTGAACTGAGAAAGAGTTCATTTTAGCCTGAAACACCTGCATACAACCGGCTGGAGGGAGCTGTCATGAGAGGGAGTTCTCTTAGTTTCTTCAATGCTCGAAAATCAGGCATACAACATTAGTAACGCACCAGAAGCCTCTGCGGACGGTGGGCTGCTAATGATGGAATGAAGTGTAGTGTGTGTGCGCATGAACCCTATTGTGGCACCCGATTTGATAACAATGGCCGCTATCGTAGACAACAGCATCACTGTTGAACTTGATCGTCTACACCGGTGAGACTGCAAAAGAGACTAGTTCTATGTATCCACCCATCTATGGCTCTGTGGGCTACACACTTGATGACATCGTCCGCGACTAGTTCAACGGAACCCTCACTTGAATGCTTCAGCCTCAGTCCAACATATTTTCCCCTCCCCCTGTAGGATAACGCCTGTGCGACTTAGTAGTTCCTCTATAACTCTGGATCATTGTAGAAAACTTGTACTTTCCAGTTGTTTATGTTCAGTCGAGCTTCTGGCTTAGGAGTTACATAGTTAGAAACTTCACTGTTTTCTAGCAAAGCCGCACTCCATCAGAAAATTTCGAATCACGCACCAGATCCTGTTTTTCCCCTCTTCTTTTTCAGTTCTCGTTCATTTGCGTGGTTTTCGATTTCTCTATTTGTTGAAAGAGTCGGACATTCGTGCACCTCAAAAAATTGTCAACTTGCTCTGGGTACCCAGACTATCCCGGTATCGGAAAATGAACGTCACGTCCTACTGATCTCGGCAAGGTTACCCCGTTCCAACGGTTGCGAAGTATACATTTTATGGCCGTTGTTTGCTGAATATCAGAACCAGGCTGAGAATTTCAGTCAGACACACAATCCACCTCTGCACCAGCGATCGTCTCCACAAACAGTCTGACCTTCAAATTACGTAAACATGTTTCGGCAACCCACAGCATGGCGATAACATTAAACGGACGTGTTGTGTTGGGTCAGGGAAGAGCATGTGACTCATCGGCCAACCACATGCTGCGACCGCTGAAATCGTGACGATCCAGGGTTTCTTCTGGTTTATCAATTTCGGACGGCTGGTTTCCGCTGGCCCGACATTTCCTTCTTGTCGCGCCCGCATGCTACCAGAGCGAGCTGAAGGATGCGGTCTGACTCATACCACCACCCTTACCCGAGTCTTTGTTTTATTGTATCACGAGCGGACGACTTGCGTGACCTCACGTTTAACACAAGTTGGGTGTGCCACTTTCAGAAGAATGGTCTCGGATACTTTTCACTCAAGTTGGTGGTTTCGCATGATAAATGTAGGTGGGCGAATAAGGTCAAGCTCTTTGGTTCATGGGACTCCTCTAACATAACCATCTTGTGTCTTGGTTGGAAGTAATGATATTTACACCGATGGATCGGTTATCATCTAACAACTGACGACTTTTGTGAACAGAGTCACATAAACGATGCAAGTCTAGAGTGCAGTAAGGAATAAATTGGCCACAGAAACTCACTCACCAACTTTGGCCTGCTTCGACTTGGCGCGTATTCCAAAAATGCGTTCCATATCGTATTCGTTGAATCGGGAAAATCTTGTCCGAATGAGGTAACACTAAAATAGACAGAGATGTGTATAAATACGATGATAAATACAACACAACTACACACTGCTTCGTAGGGACGCTTAGGGGAGGTACTAGTTGTACTCGAATGGTGATCCTAGCGATGCCTTGTGAAAGCAGTGGGACCAAATACAGTTGTGAAATGAATTCGTTATGGAACTTTTGTGTTCCACCGGCCAACCAGGAAGTGATCTGGACCACAGTCCCCCCATTTGTAAGTGAACATTTGGAGAAAGGAGAATGGCCTGTTGAAGCACATGGGCAACTTCAAGGCTTTTCATTCTAGCTACCTCAGTAAGTGATCCTGACGGAGCACACGAGCGGGCCGAAGTCTGATCCAAATAGATGATATTTCCACTAAGTACTGACAACAAACGAGACCTTCTTTTGTAGTCCGGTTTAACTCGACCACTGAGGATATTGACTGTGACCCTCCAGCTACTCTGTGGGTAAAACCGGATGGCTGGCGATCAATCTATAGGTGAGCGGAACTTTCATCTGAGAATTCGTCACTGGAAGAGCCAGTCATTACGGTTTCTGTGATTCAAGGATGACTGGCGGTATATTCTGTTTAAGTGAAAGCTTCATACTACTGTTCAACTGCTCTTGGGAGTTCGACCACCAGCCTGTCCTGTGATTGGTCTAGTCATGTCACCTGACACAATATCCAATTTTTTGACTTCTGGATGCACGCAGAAGAATCCCAATCCAAACGCGAATGCACCAAACTTTAAGAAACAGTGCTTGATGTCAGTGTAGTCGCTAGGTACGTTGAAAAACGCACAAACGATTACAAGAAAAGGGACATATGTACTTGCCCTTCACACTGGACCATTCAGTGGACAGTGGTTATCAAGTTGAACCCAGAAGTGTTTTCATTGTCATCTAATGAGTAACACCATACCAATTTAGATAATACAGAAAACAGTTGCTGGCACCAGCTGTAACCCCAGGTATACGTTTAATCAAACCCGCATTGAGTATTCAAAGAAAAACACGTGCAAGGTTTGTTGTTCCCTTTGTTGTCCCCCAAATAGACCTCACAATAGAATAGTTGACAGGCGAACAGGCCAACAGACAGGTCAGCAGACCCCTATCACTCCTTACCCCTTTTAGACAGTTCCTGTACTCTACAGTTTTATGTGATTGCATCCTGGGAACTTTGTAAAGCCGTCTATTTACTTGTCCTTGTAGAAATTTCGCAGTTGATCACCAGTTAACAAAGATATAGTACACTGACAACCTTTAAGTTCAGTGATTTTTTTCGTACTAATTTACAGCGCGTCTGTTAGGTTAAAAGTCTTCTGTTCTTGAGGAATTTCATGGTTTCGTCTAATACACAAAGTTGGATTTCGGTTACAAACACATACAGAGGCTGTCACTAAAACTCAGTTGAAGTCATTTTGTTCAATCTGCTTTGGTAAATTTTTACATTCTGGAGGTCACGGGCTAATGATTCCATCGATCCGGCAGTCATTCACAATGGTGATAAGATGTTGAACTAATCAGCAGTACCATGAATTTAACACATCACCCACAGTTCTTGTGGGGGCTTACACTGATCGAGTGTCAGGGGTTTACCTTATCCTGGGAAAATCGTACACTATCTGGTCACCCATCCAGTGGGCCATTTAAAACGGGACTACATTTCAAAGTCCTCTGATATCGTGGCTCCTTGTTTTCTTTCTCTTGGTTAATAGTCAGTAAACGTTGGAATGGTCAGAAGGGTTCATCAAACAACCAACAGGCTCATTCAGCTAAATACTGTTTACCTACTGAGTGTGAATGGTGGGATGGGCATATGAATGGCCGAAAGTGCCACACGAGGCCCATCACTCTTCAGGGGGGGGGGAGGGGTTCATGCCAGGTAGAAAGCTTTCGGCGTTCTGAATGGAAATTAGGTGAATATCCAGAAAAGTGAGTGACACGGGCATCTGTTCTAGGTACTCAATGTGAATAAATGGTCGAGCACTTTGTGCAGCGATTCGTACAGACAGCCATGTGCGTCCAGCAAAATGATGAAAATATAGTGCCAATCTGATGGCTCCCAGGGACAAAACGGTATGGCCGTAGGTTGCCATAAAACTAGAATGACGCTTTGAACCAAACAACTGTGAGTCAGATCATTAGGTCAGGCGCAGATGACCAAAAGACCTTTTACTAATTATGGTATGCAGGCATGCAGTACGTTATTCTGTGCCGTCGAAGAGGATATCAAATTAAGTGCATATTTTGCAGAGCAAGTTGTAAGAGAATATGCATATATAGCTGCCAGGCACACAATTTACTGAGTGTCTAAGTAACACGCTACCTCAGACTCGGGCATAATTGACTACTTTCGCTTGGTGGGGACTTTGGGGTCCCACCACAATCTCATATACCAGTCGAGATGGAAATTTGTTCCTTGGGGTTCAGCAAACCGGTGAGGCTAAAACAGATTGGCCGTTCTAGGCAAAATCGCATCACAAGTCGGGCTGAAAATAAGAGAGTACTCAATTTCGAAGTGGAAGTGTGGAAAACAAACAGGATTTTTCATTCAGGTGACCAGCATTCTCAGGTTATTCTAGTTGAATCACTGGTGCCTTTCCCGAGGAATGACAGGTGAGAAAAGGTTAACCCTAGAACCTGCATACTCTGATACCCAAAAAGCTGGTCATGGCTGGTGCCGGCTTAGTGAATAAGGCCGAAGGACGAATGAATCCCAATGACAGTTCTACCCGCCTCCGAATGAAGAAGATCCCGTTAGTTTCGCCCTTCTAACCAACAATATACCCATCGTCCCACGTCATGTGCTTCAGGAGGGGTCCTCGAAAAATTTACGCCTACCGCCTTTCAGGTCGGTTTGCTGGACCCGTGATGAGGTACCTCAAATTAACTGTCTTTCCTTTGGCTTGAGAATTCCTCTCCCTTCGTATTTTTCGTAAACTGCCCTCACTCTCATCGACAACCTATTCACACCATTCAACTGTGCACTTTCAGGCCAACAAGTCAGCCCTCAAAGGGTCGCCTTGTACTTAAACAGTCGAACTGTCGAACTCGTCGATAGCGCACTACCAGTTTCCTCTTCTTGGAGCTCATCAGGCAAGTGTGTCCCTCGAGGTAGCATTGACCTTATGTTCTACCAGAACACAAAATTGCTTTCAATTGGCGAAATATGTCGGCTTGCAAATGAAGTTGGTGTTAACCAAATACTGGCTAAAGGAAATCATAATGAAGAGATTCAGCCTGGCTTCATTTTGGTCCAACGGTAAGACAATATGAAAATGACACGTTCAGTTATTACGAGACGATCCATGGTCCAAGCTTTCTATCAAGCTGAATAACAGGCGTTTTTTGCAATTTCCATCATTGTGTGTTTACTTTGAAATGTGCAAGAGAAACTCCAGCTCCATTACACTTGAATTGTCGATTATTTCACGATTATGAATTGCTAGACACAGTATTTTGAATGTGAACTCAATTGCACTTTCTGCAAACCAAAAGACCAATACTCGTGTATGGAAATCGGACCAGTGACCTCAATTACCAGATGGGAGCTGTGCCCACTGAACTACGACCGAATAAAGTTCGTCTTTTCCTTCTTCACATGCACTTGTGGTCTCATTCAACAGTACAGAAATCATCACTTCACATTGAGGTAGTTCTAGTCAGTTCTAGAGTTAAAAGCGCCCCACTTGAGTGGATCCTTCTGTGGTGTTTGGTCGACTGGTGCTGTTTCCAGGCATATGACGACTGAAAACGGTGTCTGTTTGGCCCGTCGGCATATGGTTCGACATGGTGTAGCTACGGAACTTGAACAACTGGTTTTTCAGTTTGTGATTTCACGACGAATAACTCAACATGGTTGAACCGTTTCTGCAGGCTCCAATTTAGTAGACGTTGACACCATACCAGCGCTCTATGTACAAGCATTGGTAAGCGCTTCTTCAGCTGTTTATGATCACTGGTCGCTCCTATCCGGCACGAACTATAAACGCAGGCGCTATGCAGGCAAATTTAAGAAGGCACGTAATTATGTGGATTCTGACGGTAATATGTTGTTCACATGTTGAAGCGATCAATTCACAGGTCTCGATGGACATGTAGAACTTGTTTTCGGTTCAGGAAGTGGACTACTTCAATAAACAGTTAGTCGAGTTTTTTTCATGAAGGAAACCACTCACAAGGTCTCCGAAAGCTCTTGTGAGTAATTTCCTTCATCACAGAATATCTTGAATATTGTATCATCTGAAAAACGATGCGGCCTTCTTTCAGCACCTTCACAAACGAGGGGTCAACTGAATTTCACGGTGAGTATTCAGAGAAACTCAAATCAGTATGCAAGTGAGTGTACTTGTCGAAGCTAGTAGGTTATCGTTTTACCTTTTAATTGCTTCCACCGCCACTCCGAAAAAAAAATTTTTTCCAGTACGCGGTAGTTAATTTGAATCTGTGCAAGGAACTACAATATCTGCGTAACTGCCGTTATTCTGTGTAAAATTATTTGCTACTAACTGGCTACAGGTATCGGGAAGACGTTGAAACGGACCATGCTCTAATTAGGCGGACCCAAGCTACGACCGTTTTCACCGACCTCTTCGCGGGCTAAAACAGCACCGGAAATTAACTACTGACAGTGCTGCAGTAGCTAAACGGGCTTCACGTTAGAATGTGACCAAAGCGTAGGCCATGCGACTGAAGGGCTTCCAAATACGTAGATGAAAAAATCGGTCTGCAGTTTCTCACACAAGCGACTTTTCTAACATGCCACGAAAAGCAATACTCCCTTCTTTCATTCGGAACCAGCTGAATCGAAAAACTGTACACAGACCTTGGGTGTCAGTGGGTGACGAGAAACGTTCTCGAAGAAAGTTTTCAACGAAAAACCAGGTCAACTTACAGAGGGGTATTCTCGAAGCAGAGTGACTATGGCTTTGGCGCACTCATTTGCACTGGGATGGTCGAACACAGCAATTAAAGCGGATCCATTCAACTGTGTCGTTGTACAGCTTTCCTTGCGTATTAGGAGCTGAACACTGCTACCCAGTGTTCTCGGAACAAGGGAATCGTTGGGATTCAAGGACACTGAGACTGAGGACAGTCTATTGAGTAGAGACACTGTATTCTCGTTAGACACTGAAAACGAAAGAAAATAGTTTAATTAAGCTGGAATACGTTTCAAACAAGAATCAGCAAGTATCAGCTATGGGGAATGCTCTATTAACTTCGTTTTACAAGCTCGTTATTGTGCGAATAAGCATCATTTTGGTCGTTCTTTTTCCTTGATCCAAGTATATTTTACACCAAACAGGGGTGCCACGGACTATTCAGAAAATTCGGCCACGGATAATCTTGAATTGAAGCTCACTCGTTAAAACCACCCTACTTTTTGGACCCGAAATCAGCCATCACAAAGCTAAGAAGTCACCTTGGAAAGCCTCCGCTAATTGCACTTTCGGTTCCATTCACAAGAATTCAGCTACGTAAGGATGCGTGAGCTAAGCTGAGACAAGTTCATGTCTGTCCCATGCACTAGTAGGCTTGACGACAGTCCGAGGTTCCTGATTAAGCATAAATTCGCACATGAACATCAGGTGATCAGATTGTAGCGCAGCCACCTGATAAGTCGCAATTCAGATGAAATGTTTAGTTAGTTATCATTTTTCATGTTTCAGACGGGAGCTGCCACTAGTACCAATTACAGCTGAAAAGATATTCTTTTGTATTCCAGTGTATCTTGCGATTCATGGTGGATTGGAAAACGTTGCCACCGAATTCGTTTCCAATTTCTTGGATGGCGAGAACAACGCCGTGTAACCCAGTTCACCAAATGGATCAGAAGGCGGATTTCGCCCTTTGAGACATTAGTGCTGCCCGAACGGAAAACAGGAATCCATGCCTCCTAAAGTCAAACAGTGAAAAACTGCCGACAAAGGGGACCTCGGATAGTGAGACCCTGGCTTCCAAAGTCAACGGAAATACAGATATGCCAGCAGCCTCCAAACAAGGATTACTAATTATGAGGAAAGATGAAGGAGATACAACCCGTGTGCTTGTCACCGCGGCAACTGAACCGTATTGGGAGTGCTACCTAGCATTCAGTTGGGATATGATGGCGTGTAGGCGTGGCTTCCTCAGTGCTGCGCGTGCTTTATTCTCCGGCGCATATCTAGCCCTTGCACAGTCAAATGCAGACCGCAAGTTACAGTGTGGAGAAAAGAAGTGTCGGAACGGCTGTTTATACTTCGGTGGGTCTCATCCTCATGCCTTCTGGGGTACGGCGTTTGTCCGGGTTCTCCATCCAATCCCTTACGCATGCCAACACATCCCGTGAGACTGAAGGGCATCAAGGTTACCGACGATTTTCACGCTGTTCGTGTTCGGATTTGATGATATTGCATACTGAACAGGTTTCCGTCACCTCCCACTGGCACGCTCAGTCTCTTAATTGTGATATGACTCTGGCCGTGTGGCATTTTAAATGGAACCCGGTTGCTAGACGAAATTCCACCACACCCTTGGGGAACCATCGTTACTTATCCGTTTCGGTGCGTGAAACAGTTGTTAAACCATGGTTACCATCTTCGCGCCTCAGTGAGAAGTGGGTGGGTTTCTCAGTGCATTTTCACCGTATTAGTTGATCCATTAATGGTCACTGCCGTGGCATTGTACGGTTTTTTCGTGCTCGTTTTTCCTCAGCCAAGGACGGCGTCACTGCTTTCCTACATATAAAATTTATTATTGTCTGGAGGAAATGCATTGTTCTCTTCACGCTTCTGTCGCAGAGAACAGCCCAATTTCATCCCCAGACAATAGCGTGTTATAGTGTCCCGAGTAATAAGGCTGCTGTGTGTGCATGTATCCAGCTTTGTCTTGCCCGATAAGGTAAAGTCAGCATTTTTAAAGAACACCTGATGCGATGACGGTTCATTAGCAACTTGCGGATGCAGTTCTAATCATATGTCCTAATAGAATAAGACATCCTACAGCTTTCATAAAGGAAACTACTCACAAGGTTGCTGAAAACCCTTCGACAGCCCACGACCGGTTTTGCCCTTCTTGGAGTTCATAAGGTAGGCGCAGTCCCCAAGTTTCCGTCAACCTTGTGTTCTACTTGAACCCAAATTGCACTGTTTTCGAGAAATACACTCATTTATCATAAACGAGAGATTCATGTGTCTGTTGTGGAAACCGAATTGATTTGCAACTGAGTGTATTTCTCGATCCTACAGCTGTGCTTAATCTTGATTAGGTTAACAATTAAGTGTGCTTTCGACGAAAACCACCAATTGCAAATGATTTTTATTGTCTGATATGTCTGTACAGGACACAGCTTGCGCGTAAAATAACTCTTTGCGTATACTGCATGCGTTTGAGCTACCTTCAAAAACACAGGAAGGATTGAAAGGTGCCTTAATTCTGCGGCACTGGTTATATTGTGACACGTTAAAATAACTGGACACTAAGGAAGCTGGGGAAAATAATGGGTCATAAGTGGAAAAACGGCAAAACAGCGCAAATGCACTTGCAGTGAGGTGCAAAAGTCCTCTGAAAAACAAAAAACTGTATGAGTTACCACACTTAAAATTGCGCAGTTCCATCTTTCTGTCGGTTCCCACAGGTATTCGAATCTGATTCACTCTCCTGATGTTTTTTCGACATTTTTCTCCTTTACTCTCGAATAACTCAGCCTTACTGCACAAGTGACGGAAGGATAGACACAAGCACGCTTTCGCATCCGGTTGCACCTATCACCCGTAAAGTATGCAGACGCAAAGTGCATTTGATTCGGATCCGCCTAACCCAACGAAAAGAAAAACCATTTTTCTACGGTTGAACTATCGATTTGGCTGTGGTACTTCGTCAGCTTGTGGGAATTATTCTGTTAAAGTGTGGCCATTTGGCGCCGATCCTACGCGTTGGAATGAGAATATTGGTATTTTTTTGCATTTTTTGCGCGCTCACGCAGGTGTGAAACAGGACCATACACAGTCAGATTCGCTGGACAGTCCAGCAGCTGAAGTGGCCAACAATTGATGGATCACTTGTGGGAGTGGGCCCGACAATGGGAATCGATGTTTCGGGCTGCGGGCAATAACCTGGCCATGTTTCACCGACTACAGATTGCGAAACATTAGGTGGTCGGTTAATCGGGAATGGACCGCTTCATGGTTTGATCCGTAAGCCGAATCACCTAGTGTTAGCTACTGATTACCTAAATGACTTATTGATTAGAGCACGAACATACTGATCGGAAGGTTCGTGGTTCGAACCAGACCTATGCATCTCAACTTCCGCTGTCTAGAATTAAGAAGTCCGGCGATATCTCAGCCCTCGTGCTTCCTTCCGGTGGCATTGCAGCTACGCACAGAAATAGTGTTATAGCTGTACGGTTTATTTTTTATTCAGTCGTTCGCTATCTTCAAACAGGAGTCTTATTTGTGGTATGGGTTTGATAAGCTGAAATTAACCTTAGAGCACAGGAAAACTTGTTGCAAGCCTTGTGCAACACTTGTGTGATACCCTTCCGGAGAATTCCTGTTATAAGAATCATCATCCTCATCATTGTCAGCTGTAAGAACCGCGTACTCGTCGTACAGCGGTTGTAGCTGCCGCAGTTTCGTCCACCGTTGATTGGGAGGGGGTAGGTAGCTGCGCAATGCAGGTGAGAGATGATAAATTGGTGCACAAATCTAGCACTCTCAGTGGGCTGTCAAGTGGGGGGATTGGGAATGGAGCTATGCAGTGAAGGCAATAGCTTGGATGCACGGGCGCCATTGGGGGCGCGACTGGGCCACGTCTGACAATGTCTCTAACCATTGATGTGGCCCGTCTCGGGGTCCCCATCCAGGAAGACGGCAATGACCAGCGCAGCTGAGTTTGCTGGTAATGGCTTTCACAACTCACTGCCAAGTCATCGTGTGACCGCCTCTGGCTCTCTTCCACCCTTCACGTGGTTGTGCGAAAAGAGCCCTATCGAATACCATTTGTGCAAATTCAGCATTGCTGATCGGGTGTTCCCACCAGATTCGGGCAATGTTCCGAAGACATCGATGGTCAACCACTGAAAGTCTTTATCCTTCCTCAAATGTGGCTTGACCAAAATGTCAGAAAAGTGGAGTTGGGAATTGGAGAGGAAGTGGGATAAACATGAAAAATACATGCTGTAGCGGCCGATTTTTCCAGTTAAGAACGGAAGCAAATTGTCCTCAAACTCGGACAAAACATGGAGCTTTCGCTTGGCAGATCAGCTACAAAGAATGAGTAGTGCTGACCACACAAAAAGACTGATAAGGAAACAAGAGGAAGCGAAAAAACCAAAAGTTTCAATGGCAGAGATGACAAAAAAGGTAACCAACTCTGCAGTGGTGCAAAACATCAACGAAATACCTCCTGAACGCAACGTGAAATAGCACACCGAGCATTTAATTCACAATCTGGAATGCTTCTTGCTTACCATAAAGACACCACAACCCTCGACGGCATTTAAGCAGAAGTCCACTTGACCGGTTAGAGCCGACTAGAGCCAGGACAGTAAAGCTGGAGTGTGCTGGGAAAACCGTATTCAATAGGCTGCGCACCCAACCACCATCTACTCATTTCCAAGCAGACATGTTTTCATCGGTCTGGAAGAATAATTCTGCTACTGGGCCTATGACACGCGACTTCACTCACATAGACACCATCCACAGGAATCGACCCTCAAAAAGACTACTTTTTTTTGGTCCAAATTTGGTCATTCCTCTAGGTAATACTGTAATACTGTACTTGGAAGTTCAGTGAAGCTACATCAGGTGAAGACAGACAGAAAGAACGTCGTCTCTTTCACTTTCTCAGAGTGGGCCATGAGCCTCACGAACACGTGAGCAGTGATGTCAGCTTCCAAAAGTACAGCAGCCTGAAAGCTAGTTTTCAGCAAGGTGTCATGACTTTTTAGTGATTCCTTACGACACTCTATGTCCTACTTAAGCACCAAAATGCACGCATTTGACAAAGTGGAATAAGTTGAAAATTAAGGTGGTGTTCGCGAGGAACTCGAGTGAAGTTCAGCACACTAATTATTGTTATTATTATTGTTACTATTAGTAGTGATCGTGTGTCCCATCGACAAATTGTACCTCGATATCTTGAATATC